AGTTGCAATTCAAAATGTTTCAACTGTAGACTTTAGATTGATCTTGCCAACGACGTTAGTTCCTTAAAGTTATAGGGACAGCGTCAGGGGAAATGTGTATATAGATTTGGCACATACTGGATCACAAATGGGGTCTCTTAGACGCGCAAACTGTGATACTATACCACCTAAATTGCACCCTGAACACCACGAGTTGGCAATCTTATATAATTTGGAATCAAATTATAGCATCTACGCCAGCTGGGCAGACGACAATCCTATTTGTTACTGCCAGAGAAAGACAGAGGTGAAGAGTTCCATCAAGGAAGTTAACCGATATGACATTTACTGAATTTTACAGGTATCCAGTTTATTACAGTAGTGTATTGAACAATAGTCAATAAAAGTAGGCCAGGTAACAGACTGACTTGATTCAGACTAGGAGTGGGTGAAGGTGGTCAACACATGCTGAGTTCATTTCTATCTCTTCTTGAATAAAAATAACACAGTCAATATCATTATGTGGCCTCTATAAAAAGGGAAGAGATGATATTTCCATGTCAATCTAATCAAACAAGATTTATACCAAAGTCGTGTACTGTTGACGTTCATTCCAACTAATCACAGCGTGTCATACAGAATCTGTGTTTAATTATGGACTTAAAACTGTTAACACGTTTCAGATATAAATCTCTTATCAGGACGGTCGTAAAGAGGAATTTTTATAAGCCTTCCATATCAAAAGGACTATTTTTTATAATCCGAAGAAAGCTTCAAAGCCTATGGGCACTATAGAAAATGGCTAGATATTTGATTATTTGGTTTTCTATTCTGAGAAATTTTTGGTGCATATTTGCATGATTTCTAAACATAAGAAAAAGTTACGTCAATACTGCGGCAGATCTTCAGAGGTGTTACAGTTTACATCATCAATCAATCTCAGCAGACGCTCTCAAGGGGAGGTCAGTCAGTACTGGGAACAGCATTCTATGATAACGAATATGCAAAGAACATTTCAAAATAGAGAAGTGATCAATCAGAATATGACTTAGTCCAAAACACTTGTCTCAATTCCAGCCTCTGTTAGATATCTTGAGAGTTATCAGCTGGTGTAGAGTCAGAAAATGAAGGCCATGTTTTATGGGAATTTTCCACACCTCTGAAGATGTGTTTTTTTCTTGCATAAAATTAAATTACTTTACACTGACTGTAAGTTAGTGTTGGGCATTACCGTAACTTTTGTTTTGTTAGTATCACGTGACTCTGCGACCCTTGAACTTTTTGCCGTGCTTTTATGATGCAAAATAATAAAAACCTGATGCCCCGTTTCGATTGGATGTTTCGAAACATAAGGTTTATTTGGTATTGGGGTTTGTCAACTTGACATCTGTTCTGGAGAGTCCACATAGCTAATAATGTTTAAAGGATTATTTTTTATCACCAAAAGGAAACATTTGGCTTAGGTTATAAAACAATGTTTCCAATAATATTCATCAAAGAAATAGCTGGAGGAACATATAAACAAACTCACAAATTCCAAAACATACCAACATCTTATAAAACAAAACATACCAGCATCTTATAAAACAAAACATACAATATGTTCCAAAGATATTTAGTATTCACACACAATGATGACAAAACTTGAGGGTTTTTGCAAAAAATAGATATTGAATAAAAAAACATACAAAAGTCAAAAAGTTAAAGGGATTGTAAAACAGTTTTACTTAAATTATCATGTCCATCAGAGACACTGATAATATCAATTTCCACCATTCCAATATTCAATCAGATGTCTGTGGTTCCTTCAATTCCACTAGATTTAAGTGTTTGATGATGAGACTAATCGTAAAATCTGCTTTATCACATAAGGTCCATTGCAATTAGTGATGTCATCAAACACTTAGTTTAAGCGGAATTGCAGGAACCACAGAACCACGGAATGGAGCAAATTGGTGCTATCAGTGTCCCTGCTACTCATAAAAAATTTAGAAAAACCTCTTGATAATCCCTTTAGTAAATGCTGAATTTATTCCAATATTGAGCTAGTAACAGAATTCAATTTAAAGCACATTAAAGGGAGGCAACTCCATTTTTGATGGAAGGTAGGCCTACAGAACTGTAGAAAATAGAAAATGATTTTAAGTTTAATATAAAATATTTGAAACAAATAAACACTGAAGTGTTCAACATAAATAACAAATAAATAATGAATAATAAACAGTAACAAAATAACAAAATCTGCAAATATTTCCAAGACAGCTTGTGAGCTGAAGGCAATAAAAAGTAGCTAATACAATCAAGTTTGTAAATGCTTGAAAATATTTGCAAATAAACCTAGAAACTAAGGGAAGTAACTCAAAGGCAAATCCTGGGTCTGGTATGTCTGGGTCATAAATTTTGCAGAAATATTAATGCGCATGTTAATTGTCTGAAGATCACACAGCGTGAAACTCTGAGTAACAACATGTTTCAAGATCTGTTTTAATATTTCTAAATATCATGGTAAATATTATTATTTTACATTGAAAAACACTGTACTGAATGGAAATGTCTGGGAAACGTTAATCGTCATGGAGATCTTGAAAGACTTTATTCAATTTTGCTTCTAGTTTAAAATTTGTATTTAATTCATCCTGCATCACATTTTTGATTCCACTAAAACTAAGTGTTTGATGACGTCACTTATCGCAAAGGGCCTTATGCAGCGCTCGTACTTTACTTAATCTTTGACTAAAGTTAGACTTAATTCAAACTTTAGGTATGCACCTGTCGATCTTTACAAAAGTCGTGCTTAAATTTGACTATCAAATGTAGAAAATGAAAGCCTTTATCCTAACTTTGTAAAGTTCGACTTTAGCCAAAGTTCAACTTTAGTCAAGGTAAGAGCGCTGCATACAGCCCTTAGTTCTAGTGGAATTGCAGGAACCAACACATGTCTGAATTTATGAATTGTGCAAAAACCTATTTCCCTTTAGATAAATACACATTGTCATGGTCTTTTGCTACAAAATGAAGTTTCATAATACTGTCCTATATTCACCATCATATCAATTTTCACATATAAAATCATTCCCATATCATTTACATATGTTAAAGATGGGTTTCCTTATTTTTTAGAGTCAAAATATTTGATTTATTGGTGTTTCTAATGAATTATCGTGTATTCTTAATCATATCATTATGTCCTCATTGCATATAATTAAGCGTTTTAACCAATCATAAATTAATGTCCATGAATATACAGTCTGGATAAACAAAAAAAGACTTTTTGACCTTTTTTGATTGGTCACTCATTGAAATTCTGCTGGTAATTGTCTTCTAATTTAGCTAATTATGAATTAATTATAGACATGTGAGACAAACTGGTATTTTTCCAAGTCATTAGCACACCTCTAATTTCCATTCATATAAGTACATTGTATTAGCATTTTCATAAGGTAATCCATCTTTAACTTGTTTCCCAATTCTGATATATAAATGAGGTACCATCAAGGAAACGTAAGTAAAATCATTGCATTTCTCTTGTCTTTCAAACTTATCTCTGAGGGAGAAAATAACATGTTTAAACACATCTGCGCTATCATAACTCAAATACTGATGTATCTTCGAAGTCTTTTGGTAGAATTCTCTGTCGTCCAATATGGCGCAGTCTCATCAAATAATCTGAATGGAAATGTCCGTCTGTATAGTCTAAGAAACGTTTATAATCATCCTGGAGATCTTGAAAGTCCTTATTCAATTTTGCTTTCAGTTTTAACTCTGTAGTTAATTTGTCCTGCAGAGCATCATATTTTTGATTGAGTCTCTGTACATGTTGGTCATGTAACAGTGCCTGTTTTTTTGCAGCCTCTCTGGCCTCTGCTTCACATGTTTGACGCGTTTCTGCAATTGCTTTCTTTTCCCGCTCCTGAAATGTTATTTCTGCCTTCTTCAATGCCTCTTCTACTGCATTTTCTTTTTCTTTTGATGCCTCTTTCTTTAATTTTTTGGTCAGCTCGGCACATGCCTCTGCAACAGCTATTTCTTTCAAGCGTTCATCCTCCTGCCTCTGCAGCTCTACTGCTTCCTCTTTCTCCTTGTTCATCTTTTTTATCAGATCTTTCATTCTCTCAGCTTCAGCTCTGTCTCTCTGCTCTGATATTCTTTGTGCTCGTCTCTCAGCATATTCGTTCTGCTTTTCTAGAGCTCTTTGCCTCTCTGCATCTTTTTGAAAACTAAGCCTTTTCAGAGCTGCTCTGAGCTCTCTGGTAGCTCTTGCCTCTGCTGCCTCTACAGCTCTCTGCACTGACCGTTCCACTCCCTCTAGGTTATCATCCTTGCTTTTGGACAGCATGTCCCCACCCAAATCGATAATATTTCCATGGGTAACTCTTTGAGTGGTAAGTGTAGTTTTATTGAGTATTCTTTCCAAAGCATCACAAGGATCTTTAAACCTCCTGACAGATCGCGACGAGAAGCTACGCGACGGTAGATTATCAACACTTGAAAAAACATTTAACTTGTAAACCGCTCGGCTCAAATAATCGTCATCCGAGAAGGCCATTTTGTCGAACAGGTGAATACGATAGTCGGAAGTTTACATTGATCAAGACGTTGCTAGGGACTTTACTATGATATATTGACAATAACGCCCGGTTTATATTATGGATATTAATATACCTTATATCGTATACGACTACTTATAGGCTTATCTCTTTATGTACGGCTATTTAAAAATAAATCTGACCCCATTCGATTGAAATGACTGGTGATAGTGTTAGATTGGATTTGCCCTTTATACACCTTACGATTTGAGAGGATTTAGGCCTACTTTGATTTCCGAAAAAAATACCCATATATGCCTGATGTCTGAGTGTAGATATTCGACTTACCTTGCGGTAAAGTTTGAAAGATTGTCACTTAAACTCCAAGTTGTGGTCCTCATGTTACTAAATTTTGAAATGTTGTCACGTTTTGGACTGAGTATATTCTCAAATCACGTGACCTTGAATAACCCTGAGTGAATAGTGTTAAAATTGTAAAACAAGTTGGCCTAATATGTTAGGATACTTGGAGAAACGAGAGAGGGGAGAGACGGAGAGAGACGGGTAGAGGGGGGTAGGAGAAGGGAGAGAGACAAGACAGAGGGGGTGGGGGGCCAGACAGAGGGGACGGGAGAGAAATGGAGAGACAGGCATAGAGACAGAGGAAGATCTTCACCCACGACTTTTCATCCACATCATTTGAAATCGTTACCGACTTGTATACCCGATTAAAACCGTTTTCAAAAACATAACCCATACACAAGCAAAATAAGGCTGTCATTCAGTTCTTAAAGTAAAACGCATGGCTCTGCTCCTTTATGGTGGGCTTTCAATTGTTGAAAAAACGCTTGGTATATAGATGTCATTTGCAATGTCTAATCCAACTTTTCTGTTGTCATAAAGAACCATTTTTCCCGAAGTTTCGTTCATCTGCCGCCGATCCACTCCATTCATTTCATTTCACTTCTGCCGCTGAAACATGTTGCCGTCTGCTGCAATTATGGTGGTCTGATTTAAGTTAAATATAGTTATCTCCCTTTAAATATTAATGTTTTTCAAAATAACTTATGTATTGTGGTCTGTCGTTCTCTTTGACTTTTAGGATCACCGTACAGTTTAGAATGTGAAATTTTGCCAGGATGGTGTCATAAACCTGTCCTTTTCGATTTGAAAATGACCTATTCCGAAACAATGGCCGTGGATTTAGTGTTTTGTGTTTCTGTTCAAGGTGCCCTCTTAATTGGCACATTAACATGCTTTATTGCCCAATAATGAAGTAATTTGTGGGGTCATTAAAACATACGATAATAATCCTATCCTCACCCAAAGGCGTCAATTAGTTGGGCAATAAAACCAACCAATTTGTCACGATGTACCAAATTATCTCCCTTGGAGTTAAATTGTCACGTCCGTCACATAAAATTTTATTGGGAATTAAACTGTTTATTGGGATATATCAATTAATTGGGGGACACCTGATTCGAGTAAGGCTTATATTATGTAAAGATGTATAACCCAATTCTCCTTCTCGGATTCTTCCTTTTTTAAATCGGTCACTCATTGGATTTCTGCTGGTAATTCTCTTCGGATTTAGCTAATTATGAATTAATTATGGTCATGTGAGACAAACTGGTATTTTTCCAAGTCATTAGAACACCTCTTCTTTCTATTCATATAAGTATCAGCATTTTCATTATCATAAATGAATATAAGGGAACCCATCTTTAAATATTCCGTTTAGCCTTACTCCCTTTTTTATTCAAAATTCAATATTACGAGGCACAATAGAATTTGGTCGGTAATAGAGGACAGCGGATGAACTACTGGAGTTGGGGACGTCAACACGTTTATTAGATAATCAATAGAAGTTTATATCCATAAAACTGTTGTTTCTTAACGTTTATTAGATATTTGGGTTCGTCAAATCATCAAACGTTCAAACGTTTCAGATTGTCGACAAAGCTAATGCACTTAGTTTGGTTACTTAACCAGGCATGGCTTTCAGAGAGTCCACATAGGTAATATGTACTTTGATGTAAAGGTTTCTCAACTCTACATACATTACAGCTGGGGTTTTCAACCTTTTTTTCTATTACCCCTCTCAGTATTCTTATCCAATTACATTACCCCTCTTCTCCCCTATCCTTACTATTACCACTCTTTCCCCTGTAAATCCTTACTATTACCCCTATTCTCCCTGTAAATCCTTACTATTACCCCTATTCTCCCTATAAATCATTACTATTACCCCTATTCTCCCTATAAATCATTACTATTACCTCTATTCTCCCTATAAATCATTACTATTACCTCTATTCTCCCTATAAATCATTACTATTACCCCTATTCTCCCTATAAATCATTACTATTACCCCTATTCTCCCTATAAATCATTACTATTACCTCCCTTCCCAGTATAAATCCTTACTATTACCTCCCTTCTCAGTATAAATCCTTACTATTACCTCCCTTCTCAGTATAAATCCTTACTATTACCTCCCTTCCCAGTATAAATCCTTACTATTACCTCCCTTCCCAGTATAAATCCTTACTATTACCTTCTTTCTCAGTATAAATCATTACTATTATTTCCCTTCTCAGTATAAATCATTACTATTACCTCCCTTCTCAGTATAAATCCTTACTATTACCTCCCTATCCTTACTATTACTTCCCTTCTCAGTATAAATCCTTACTATTACCCCCCTTCTCGGTATAAATCCTTACTATTACCTCAATTCCCCTATAAATCCTTACTATTACCCATCTTTCCCCTATAAATCCTTACTATTACCCTTCTTCCCTCTATAAATAATTACTATTACCCCTCTCCCCCTATCAATTTTCTCTTTGGTTGTCTCTGAAATCATTTACATGTTGTAAGAATATACGCTGACTGAATAGAAAGACTTGAATTATAATTGTCCACAAATTTTATGCTAGACTTAAAATGAATCATTACCCTTCAAAAGTTTCAAAATTACCCCCTTGTGGCTATTTATCCCAAGGTTAAAAACCCCTACCTTACACCGAGTCTACGCTGCAGTCTACATTCTGGTATTTTTAACATACCAGTTAATTTCTTTTTAAAAAAAAATTAAGAAAAGAGCAGGTGAAATTTTGACCTTTATATCGCACCCGAGCCCGAACGACGTTTTCATTCACCAGAAACAAGATAAGATTTTATGATAAAATATAAAAGTTTACAGGCAAACAATTTATACCCCAGACGTGAGTCAACATGTAGAAAAGTCATGGAAAAAAGAAAGAATCCACTGATATGTTAAGATTTTAGACCGAGATAAAGAAAATAAACTGTATCTAGGCATCTTTTCATTCAGTTTGTCTCGTTCATATTGCCCGGGGCAAGTCATAAATCATTCATCTTTTGTTTTGAAATGTTGTTCAAAATTAAAATATACATTCTTTGTTGAATAGCATATCTTTTCTTTGACTTGAGAATCGATTCAATTAAATTAAACGGTGTTTTATATCTTTCTGGAGCTGGAGCTTTACGTCCTACTTTTCTAATGTGATCTGTACCTGACATAACTGGTCTATTGAAATGAAATTAGTTTACAGTGTACTTTTCTGTACCTTATTCATCTATTGAAATTAAATTAGTTAACAGTGTACTTTTCTGTATCTTATTTGTCTATTGAAATGAAATTAGTTTACAGTGTACTTTTCTGTTCCTTATTCATCTATTGAAATGAAATCAGTTTACAGTGTACTTTTCTGTACCTTATTGGTCTATTGAAATGATATTAGTTAACATTGTACTTTTCTGTAATAACTTATTGGTCTATTGAAATTAAATTAGTTAACATTGTACTTTTCTGTAGTACCTTATTGGTCTATTGAAATGAAATTAGTTTACATTGTACTTTTCTGTAGTAACTTATTGGTCTATTGAAATGATATTAGTTAACATTGTACTTTTCTGTAATAACTTATTGGTCTATTGAAATTAAATTAGTTAACATTGTACTTTTCTGTAGTACCTTATTGGTCTATTGAAATGAAATTAGTTAACATTGTACTTTTCTGTAGTAACTTTTTGGTCTATTGAAATGAAATTAGTTTACATTATACTTTTCTGTAGTAACTTATTGGTCTATTGAAATCAAATTAGTTAACATTGTACTTTTCTGTAGTAACTTATTGGTGTATTGAAATCAAATTAGTTAACAGTGTACTTTTCTGTAGTACCTTATTGGTCTATTGAAATTAAATTAGTTAACATTGTACTTTTCTGTTCCTTATTAGTATATTGAAATGAAATTAGTTTAGATGTATGTACCTCATTGGTCTATTGAAATGAAATCAGTTAACATTGTACTTTTCTGTAGTAGCTTATTGGTCTATTGAAATGAAATTAGTTTACATTGTACCTTTCTGTACATTATTCGTCTATTGAAATGAAATTAGTTTACATTGTACTTTTCTATAGTACCTTATTGGTCTATTGAAATGAAATTAGTTTACATTTATGTACTTTAATGAACTAATGAAATGAATTAAGTTTACATTGTACTTTTCTATAGTACCTTATTGGTCTATTGAAATGAAATTAGTTTACATTTATGTACTTTAATGAACTAATGAAATGAATTAAGTTTACATTGTACTTTTCTGTAGTACCTTATTGGTCTATTAAAATTAAATTAGTTAACATTGTACTTTTCTGTAGTAACTTATTGGTCTATTGAAATGAAATTAGTTTACATTTATGTATTTTATTGAACTAATGAAATGAATTAAGTTTACATTGTACTTTTCTGTACTTTGTTAAGCTTTTGAAATGAAATGGAATTTAAATCCTACTTTTCTGTTCCGTTATTTTTCTGTACTTTGTTGAGCTAATGAAATGAAATAGATTATATATACTACTTTTCTTAACCTTATTGGGGAATTGAAATGAAATGGATTCTATATCCTACTTTTCTGTACTTCACTGAGCAATTGAAATGAAATGGATTTTTTATCCTACTTTTCTGTTCTGTTATATTTCTGTACTTAATTGAGCTAATG